TCCACCTCCGAATAGGCTGGAACCATGAGTGACCAAAAATGTAGCCAGCGACCCGCCAAGGCTGTAATATGCGGCACAGCATTTCCACAGTTGTGTGCTGCGCACCCTCGAGCAGATGAGTGGGCTTGACAAAGCACAGAGTGCAGTTCGACTAGATTACCACACGTGTTCATCCTATTGTCACTGAATCACGCTCAAATAAGTGTGAATGTGTCGAACAGACTCGGAGTAGGACAATACTCCGGAGCACAATTTAAAACTTCCGCATCGCTCAATCGATTTGAAGCTGCGTGAATTCACCTCGGGCTTTCTACTCTTTGCCACAGCCTGCCAATAAACCAGTTTAACCCCCTGAGACATGCACATTGCTGATGTAACGACAGATGACTTGAAGTATTGACGATATGCATCAGACAAAGGAAGAAGGAAGCAATGGTTACTTGACCTACAATGGCCATGAAGGTAGTGAGCAGTCGCATGTTTTCTCAATTACTAAATCACATTGTTACCAAAATCTAAGCTCGAACTGGAACATTCAAATGGACACACTTCACTTCAGGATCAATTACGCTTACATGCAACATAAAATTTCCCTTAGACAGGGCTATATCAGATGTAGAATCATGTGGATCTAGACGAATTGTGACAATTGGACGCTTTGAAATGAAGCCATGTGTGGCTTCGACTGATTAGCAAGACCGATTCAAGTGAGAGAGATACGGCTATAGCAGAAGCACAGTCTTGTAGATCTAGACGAATTGTAACATCAATTACATTCAGTTATTGAGACGAAATCAACAAGATTGACAATTTTGATGCCTTTGCAATAAAGCCACGTGTGGATTCGACTGATAAGCAAGACGGATTCGCATGAGCGAGTTCTTAATCGGGATGACGCCTCCGTAAACTCACACCTTTGTAAAATAACGTAGTAAAGTGCACTGCCATATTTACGCATGGTGCATCGAAATTGCCCACCAAACATTCAATATTGTTACATTCAATAAATGCGCATTTACCACAATCAGGCCTAGCAAGCGAGTTCTGCCAGGTCGCAGCCTAAACTTCACGCCCACCTTCAGACTCTGAATTTGTTCGAACTCAATCGCATCAGCTCAAGAGATCACATCTGCCATGTGGAATCGCTGTCGGCTAAGGTGTTGAAAAGCTCAACTCGCGTGGGGGATTCCAGTGAAACGTTACTTCGGGAAACTGATTCCACTCCAATCCATTGGATTCCTCATGGATTGACTGTCAAGTAAATGGAAGGTGAATTGAAAGTGGTATTACGTTGCTGCCATTTGAACTGTGAATGGGCATCGATTGGTCACTTAATCACTTGATGCCCACATTGTTCTCTCACGTGGTGTTGGCAAATGTTGAAGAGCTGTCTTGATAATTGCCATCATAATACAGCAAAAGACACAGACCAGTCACCTTCTCCCCACTGATGGCATTCAAGTTTAATAAAGGGTGCTTTGATGCTGAGGACGAGCCTAGTACTGCGTGGCCAACTAGTTCGTAGTTCCAGTTCTGCGGCAACTGAATGCGGATTGCAATCTGTTGTTAAAATAAGCAGCACGTTGAAGTAGGAAAGCATAATTTTCAGGATAATACGGTTCGAAGAAGAATGAAAGTGAGCTAGCAAATTTAGCATTGCGTACCTAAATGGCTAAATGCTGTTCTACTGCAATGCTATTTAGTACCGATTTTGTGGCTAGTAGTACTTCCGCCTTCTTCGCTGTGGTCCAAGAGATTAATTCTGAGTTTGCTATTTTGTGCTTCCCATACTCACAGATTTGATTCTTGTAACACGAATAACGCCTGGAAATGGACGAAATGAAAGTGAGAAGACGTGTTAATGAAGTGCCGCTGATTCCGATTGATTCACAAAATTTGCTACCAGTTGATGATTGCAGCCATCCACCGTGAAGACTGGCCACAATTGGCAGTTTGCTAGAGAAGACGCATGAAGAGATTGAAGATCATGCGAGAAGTGGCCATCTCAATGACTATTTAAGAGGCGATTCGCAATGCAGTCCTTGGTTACCTCTCTGTGAATTGAGAGTAGGTCACTTTAGTGCAAGCTATGACCCTTAGCACACACGAGAAAATATACGCGCGACTTATTGCCTCTAATTCACGAGGTTTTCTAGTGAAGGTCCATTAGATCCAACTCTTACACATCTGATCAAATTTTAAAAGGCTAAAAGGAGACTATTTCTGCAGCATCGAAATCATTTTCATTACATCAGCACACGACAATCAACTTGTAGTCTGTAATTGGTATCTCATATATAAGACAAGAAGTTTAAACTCCATTAAACGAAAATTGCTTGAACATTCACACCCCACCATTCGTTTTAATAAATTGAGCGACAAGATCACTCAGTTGGATGCATTCATTTATTCACGGCGTCTGTTCGAGGCACGATTTAAAATATAAGTTAGCAGGTTCGCTTTACTTCAACTGTACTGAAGTAAAAAATGGCCTCAAATTAATTAAACGAATGGGTATAAATTATGTGACAGTTAGTAACCTGAGTAAGTTGGGCTACACTAAAGAATTTGTGCGAAACGATTAGTCGGGATCACCAATTGTTTGAAGCAGGAAAGACAGAAGAAAAAAAAGATACAGAACCGAGAGAGACTCGACCCAGCCAAGTTATGACTGTCACCCCACTGTGCAGGCAACAATCATGTGTGAACAATGGGCTTGTTTATCTATACGGCCTTCATGAACCTGTAAAACTGCAAATGGCCAAATGAAATGTGCAGTGTGGGGAAGGGACACCTACAGGGGTCAATGAGCAGACGGTTTAGCATGGTCAATAGGGGCGGCGTGTAAATGAGGTCAGCGTGGGTGGCAGAGCATGCGACAACTGTGCCAGCAGACGCGAATCAGCGCGATTCACCACAGGCCCAAGGCATTCAAACTAGGAACAGCGGAATAGCCTCCATGAGGCTCACCCAACTCCAAATGGTTACGAAATTGTTGACTGTCGGAGTAGGTGTTACCCGTATTTGATTCTCCCTGGACGCCGTCTCAACTTCAGCAATATTTGAGGACACTTTTCGCACGACATAATGTGACGTCTCAACTATCTCCAATGTTGTAAGTCTCATCAAGTTGCTTCGAAGTACTCTTTCATGTTTCGTTTATTTTCTAATGAATCGAAATTTCAGCACATTTGCACACTGTAACCTCTTCAAGGTCGCTAGACACACTAACAATTGTTGGCACACACACGAATTGGTATTTGCAATTGCGGGTAGTTCATATCGGCAAAGTCGCTTTACAAGACTCTAGTAGAAAGAACTCTCTGAGTAATTCCACAAATTCAAAGTCATTGTGTGCAATTCACTTTTGCCTTTGTCGACTACTTTTCGCATATTTCAACTAGCAGGTAAGTAGAGCACAGTGTTAGTTGTATCACGCTCCTACCACATTGAGTATTGTCACAGGGCGTTTGACGGACGAAGTAGAGCATCCAATCTCCTGCCACTCATCTTCGGCTAACAATGACTTTATGCAGTCCTGAATGTTGCTCCCCATTCTGGGATACATGAAGCTGTACTCACACAAACAGACAAGGGTGGCTAAGCGGATAATATTTTGAATACAATCTCACGTTCCCACTGTGGATAACATGTAGCCTCATTTAGTAAGCAACAGCACAACCTCTTTGGCTCAATGGATGTGATGTCGATCACATTTGTATCCTGCTCTTTGGCAAAACGGACTCACGGATCAGCAAATGGTGTGCTGCAGGAAGCATTCGGAGTGAAAGTAACTTAACCAAGAGAGTGCTTAATAGGCTTCGTCAAGTCCTCATTGATACCTGCTAAATTCACCAGTCGGCCTCAGGTGTGCAATGTGAATGCACCATCCCATTCTAAGGAATGTCAAGTGTTCGGGTTTCAGGTTCCTGTCTTATCACTTTTCCAGTTAGTGCCTGCGAAAGAGAATGTTGCAAGCTCAGTCTGTCTGAAGTGATTTTGATAAAACGAGCACATTTCAGCATGATTTCAGCTACAAGCATTTGTTCATGAGGGCGCTTATCTTGACGTGAAATGACCTGTAGTGAATCGTGTTGCCTCATGTCCGTGAAGTCTCTAGTCAATCAACTCAGACTAACCGCCTCCCCTTGTTCCGAGGGCCCCCATCCCATGTGGGTCCGTCTGTTTAAACGGCCCTGGGCATGTACTGCGCCTCATTTGGACATTCAGTCATTTGTACTTGATTAATTCACCCAGTCTGTTGTGATCACCATACGCTATTAATCACAGACTACTTATTACTTACAGTAACGCGACATAGACACCACAACTAGGTTGCACCATCAAATGCATCGTTGTGTCGCCGGTATTCCTTGTCATCGAGGGCATCTGCGTGGCGCTGTCGCGTTGATAAAACGCAGCGGTTCTGCCGTAGTTCAAGACCACATATCGGCGCCTTAAAAGCACTTCTTTGAAGAACTTCTTCTTAGAGTGCTTTGTCCTCTGCAACGGGACTATCTTCGTTCATGTAGGCATTACTAGCAAAATGGAACCTGGCTTCCACATTGTCGATGGCAAATCTGCAATTCCTGAGACACCTTAAATTATCCATTTCAGGATGCCTTCGTTTGACAGTTTATCCCACATATTGGGAATCGATGCACAGCAAATGGAAATTAAGAAAGTTTGTGTCCAAATTTCACCCCAACCAACCCTGACATTACCCGGAAATTGAGTTAGGGTTTCCACTTCGTAAAGCCATTTGCTATATCGAAAGAGCAAACTCCACCGTCATTAAAAAAGAACACAAGTACTTTTGCGAAAAAGTCACGACGTATTATTTATATACTCAGGAGTACATTCTGATTTGAAAAAAGTTGCAAAATGTTGGAAGGAAAGGGAAGGTGCTATGACCAAATATCAACGTGTAGCATAAGTAATTTACCGATTTTCTAATTGGTAGGATATTCATTTACTCTATGTGGCCTTCTGGTTTACTATTAATGCGCAGCATGCTTCCGATGGAGGTTGCGATGGCGACGATGGAGCTGTTCGACATGCTGCACCTCTTCCTTCAAAGCAGGGACATCCTCTGGTTTCTCAGCTGCGATTTTCGCGCCAGGATTTCCGTCAGCAATCTCACCCGTTTCCTCGTCATCGTGCTCTTCCTCTTCTCCTTCCTTGTCACCTTCAGCATCTGGTTTATCGTCCGTGTCGTCCTCTTCTGACTCCTCGTGCTCCTTGTCGATGGATTCATCGTCATGTTCTTCGCCTTCCTGCTCTTCTTCTTCTTCTTTCCCCTCCTCCTCGTCATCTACCTCCTCCTTATCATCGGCGTCTTGACCACCATCGTGAACTTCCTCTTCGTGCTTGTCCTCCTCTTCTGACCCCTCGCTTTCCTTGTCGGAGGGTTCGTCATTTTGTTCCTCTTCTTCCTCATGGGTATCGTCCTCTTTGTTCACCTCCTCACTCTCGGCATCTAATTCATTGTGCTCATCCTCCTCTTCTGGCTCCTCGGCTACCTCGACGGGAGATTCTTCATCTTCATCATGGTTTTCTTTTTTGCCATCCTCTTCTTCTGCTTCATCTTCCTTCTTATCCTCTTCTTCCACTTCCTCTTTTGACTCCTCCTCTTCTTTGTCTAAGGATTCATCTTCGTGTTCTTTATCCTCCTCTTCTTCTGTTTCACCCTCCTCCTTATCACTTTCCGCCTCTTTATCTGACTCCTCACCTTCATTTTCAGCGGCGTCTTCCTTCACTTCTTCTTCTTCTTTCACCTCATCTTCCTTGTCGGAAGATTCATCTACTTGTTCTTTATCTTCCTCTTGTTCTGATTCTCCTGCCGCCTCCTCCTCATTTTCCTCATCTTCGCCTGACTCTTCCTCCTTCACATCTTCCTCTTCTTCATCTTTTGGCTCCTCGTCTTCCTCCCTCGTCTCTTCTTCGCCTTGTTGTTCGTCCTCACCTTCATCAACGGGTTCTGCGTTGTTGGTGTCTTCGGGCTCTTCTTCGTCTTCCGTTTCTTCAACATCTTCACTCAGATTCTCATTTTCATCATCACCCTCAGCTTCGGCATCGTCCTCCTCCTCCTCCTCCTCCTCGTCTACGTCTGCCTTGTCCCCCTCCTCTTCTTCGTCTTCTGCTTCGTCATCTATTTCATCGCTGTCTTTGTCTTCGTCTTCATCTTTATGCAACTCCAGTGTCTCGGGTTTGTGAGCGCCTTCAGCAGCGTTGCCACTGGCATCCCCGTCCACTTTATTGTCAGCAGGCTTAACCCATACTTTGGGCATCGGCTTTGCCAGACCGACAAAACACACAGCAAGCACAAGCCAGATTAACAGATGCCTCATTCTGTGGTATAGCAGGAGGAATACGCGCAACACAGTGCGACACCACTTAAATACGAGCAGCCCTGATTTTACCGCGCATGATCCTTCGAGTGTGGTGTGCTTCACAGAGAACCACGTATTGATTGGTTTTGTGTGAGAAAGAGAGCCAGTCCCATGCTAAGCATAATTTATGCACAACCTTGCACACAGCTATGAAAATCATGCTTCGCCATACTGTGTGCAGCCCCGGTGATCGAAACTGTGTGTTCTAGGTGGCTAGAAAAAGGAGATTACCGAGCCCATTTTCTCGATCTGTTTTCTAAACGTTTATTACCACCAATCTTGCGCTACTAGATTTGTTCAGACATATGAATTTGGCTACTGTGTAGTCATGCACGACGACATCGTGTGTGAAATGCTCACCTCTTGATGGCAAACTCGATAAAAACTCCGAGGTCCTGAACAATAGACTGGTTAAAATTAATGAGAAAATCGCACCAACGGAATTACGTGCAACAAGTACAGCATCTGTCAAATGTGGCTTCCACACAGCAAAGACTCTGGCTTTAGTGGTTAATCGCTAATCCACTGGCGTTTAGCGTCTGGTAAGTTAGAGTTGCAGTTTCGGTAAGTTGAGACGCGCTAGAATCATACTGGAATCAGAAGCAATGAAAAAAAAATAAATGATGCGTATTTCGCTATTTTAACCACCGTCGAAGGCTCTGGCATGCGGTCAGTTACACGATAAGATTAAGAAGAAAGATGATGGGGACAACCAATTCTTAGTTGGCTCAACTCAGCTATTTTTTTGAGTGCGTGTACAGAATTGCGGTGCATGACTAATGTGGCTGGTGAAATTCAGTTTGAGTAAGCTAGCTAAACGGGACCCTCACAACGAACGGATTTGACGGCAATTGCACTGATTTCATCAGTTAACGTTTAGTGTCATTAATAACCTCAGTGTTCATTTGAACAGGGATTTGAGAATATCGTCAAGCAGGTGATTTATGTAAAGCTCATTAGTCCAGCAGATGGAACACGATTTCGCTGGAGCAGCGTGTGAGACGGTGTAGGAGTCTGAGTCATCGACAGCAGTTTTGCACACTGCGCTCTTTTCAAGGTCGCCAGACACGCTGAGAGTGACTGGCGCACACACACACACACTCGATTTGACATTCACAGTTGCGGGTACTTCAATTCCATAGGAATCTCTTAAAGAGGGCTCCACGAGTAATTCCACGAACACCAATTTCCTACCTTTAATTCACCTTTACCTTTGTCTAATGATCTACGTATATTTCCGTCAACAGTTGACTAGATGAGAGGTTAAGTACCATCACACCGCTGCAGCATAGAGTGCTGTCTCATGCCACATAGGCTGGACAAGCAGTGGCTTTATGTAGTCTGGAATTTTGGTTTCTTCTCCTGGCTAAATTAAACTGCATTCACACAAGCAGATAAAAGTGGCCAGGTTGAATACGGGCTCATTTTCACACTGTGGATGACAGATCACTTTATTAAGTATGCAACTCCACGGTCTCGCGTGCGTTGAGGTTGTGTTTTCGATTATAAGTGCTTTCTGCAATTCGGCCGACGGACCCAAAGACTAGTCTGGTTTATTTGCATGTTAATGCAGCAGAGATTGTTTGGCAAGGCATAACTGGAGTGAAGGTAACTTGACTAAATTAACCTCATCACTTCATTTACTGTGTCTGGGAAATAAGTTCAACTGACCCAACTCTAACAGATTAAACGTTAGAGCCAAAAAATTTCCTGATCAGGGCAATAAGATAAGAATTGTGTTAGGAGCACTACGATCTCAGCAAGGTAAATGAAACTTTTAACATCAACTGTAAACGCCACTACCGATTTTGACCGACTGCGAACCCACTTAGTTTGTGGAGACATTAAACTCTTCAACCTCACAAGGGAGATGAAAGGTCAGTTCGTTGTATTAAATCAAATTTTTAAAGGACTTTGAAGTCGTTCCCACGGCCTTAACTGTGTAAACTGTATCAATGTCTAGACTAAATCATCTGTTTGAATACTAGCAAGCCATCCTAGTCATCAGTTAGTACCAGCTCTCTAATTTTGCATACCTATCAACCACTTGGTTGACCAGGCCGCTTTTGGAGCCCCACAAGTACTCACAATTTTTTTAAAAACACATCCGTCCTATTATCGAATCCACGGACTCGTTTTCTTATTCTGATCTCCATTTTATGAACACCTATTTCAGTGCCTAATTTAATTCTGACTAAGAAGTTTAGAAAAGGATTCTGTTTTGACAAGGAGGCCTACAACATTTCCAAAGGTATTTTGTTTTATTGTTACCAACGTAAAGTGATATAAGCCCATACCATTTCACAAGGCACTTGTCAAAAGCGTTGTTACATTGAGCAAGCTTATGCTGACTGACCAATCAGGAGATTACTTTGTGTACTCTGTCTGTTACCTTCAAACTTGGAGTTGAACAGACTCCTTGATTTAAATTATGTGCGCAGCTCACAACTGGGTTTATGGTTAATAAAACAAAGAGCATCGCAACTAAGCCAAGTCAAAGTTCCACTTTTGCGTAGTCTCCTATTGAGTCAACTTGAGTTGCACGGATTCGTCACAGATAGCAGGCTGATTCATGCTTACATTGCCATTACGCTGGTGTCAGTTACTGCGTCAGCGGAGCAAGCTAAGAAAGTTTCAAGAAGGCACAATTTACTGTTAGTATACAAATGCCAACAAGGTTAGTGAAAGATCTTCATTCGCCATGGTGTTCAGACTAGGCCCCATAGTGTTACAATCTGCACACCGTCACCCCGTTTTCGTGCTTTAGCTGGCTTGTAAAATGTCAGCTTGGATCACTTGTGTGGGCAAGAGTGGTTTTCATCTTACCTTATTAACATAAATATCAGAAAACCACACAACTATTCTACAAATATTGTTGTTAGTGGGATAGAGTCGTCTAAAATACACCTGGTCAATTCACAGAGAACACCTTTACCTAAGCAGAAGAGCGATGTGCTATGCAGACACCCTGCCGCGATTTACAAATTCTAGGAAATGATTACAACGTTAAAGCGAAGAATCGAGATGTCGGTCATCAAGGGTGAAAACTGCCATTTCTTGCATAAATGGAGCTCTGACTTGTTTTCAAGTGAGGGCCGAAATATTGGTACTGGATTCAGCGTAAACGTCAGCCTTTGCCAAGCAGTTCGCTTGAATTCCACGCCTCAAACAACCTGATACCGCATTTTTTCTGCAGCTTGAGAGAATTTGTACTGTTGCATTGTGAGATACCGGTTCATGCAGCGTGTAAACTGCCTCGAATGTGGCCTCCGAGTGTGGATTGTACACTTGCACATACAATATCATTCATTCGGCTCCTGTGCGTTCATATTCATTTAGCGCGACTGCCTACTAGATTGACTAAACGTGCATTAATCAGTCCGTACGGGAACAAAATAAACAGACGTGGTTTAGAGAGCTTGGTGTGCGTCTTCAAAATTTCGACTTTAACGAAATAACTGTGAGCGATTTGTAGTGTTGTAGATTTATGGAATCACAGAAGAATCCCATTGGCGATGTAAAGTTATGTGGAAGGGGATTGTCTTTTTGGATTGTACCTATTCGAAGCAATGCGTAAAGTGTAAATTCAGCTCATTACTTTTATTTTGAAATAGAATAAGATTAGTAGCTTATGTCAGTTTTTTTAATATACTTTTGTTAAAACAACGAAAAATTCTTTTAGCATTTTAATGGTAAGCCAAGTGTATCATGTTTGCAAACGTGTATCGGGTTAGACTAAAGTATTAACATATTTAAGTACTTCGCATCTTTTGGTGAGAAGTAGCTGACTCTCATCTCATCAATAACTGAGCGGGTGTCAATTTCTTCCTCCCATTCTCTTTTAATGCTTCAGTTAGTTAGTATTTTTGAGCGAGTGCTATTCGTACTGCTCTGTTTTGAAACTGTCAATACAAGGTACCTCTGTTTTTTTTAAGTGGTGTAATAGGAAGTTGAGTTGCCGTAAAATGCACAAACTGGCTGTCTTCTGGAAGGTTCTCTGGTGACAAGGCTATTGTGATACTAGCTCACATAATCAAACAAATCCATTTTCGTTAGCAACCTCTAAGGTCTCTTTGCCACTGTTCGTGTCTGTATAACCAGAGCTCAGAATGACACATGTTGGTTGTACTTGTCACCGTCAAATCTACAACAGCATGTCTATTTTTAAAACTAAGATAATTGGGTTCATTTATACCCAGCACTACTACTTTCAGCACATGAACGTTACGATTACGTTTAATTTATTGTCATCAATTTATTCACTAACATATAATCCTTGTTTGTGCTAAAAAATCAGATTATTTTGAATGGCTGTTTCCTTAGTTGGCAGCAAATAACCGAAGTCGAAAATGTATTTTCTGTTCTGGGTTTTAGTGGCAAGTGTTTGGTACTTGAGGTCACGGCGGCAATAAATTTAAGCCCTTCCATAGAAGCAGCTTTTGTTTAATGGAAACTTTCACACACAAATAGGAAGCAACCTGTGAACGCCAAAATTCCCACTTCCCTAGTGAAGATGTCTGTGCTACTTCGACTAAAAGGCCGAGTTAATACATGCAGGAGCACGAAGTTAAGACGCAAGTGTTCCGTTTTGCCCGTGACCATGTAAGGCAAGACATAACCTCGTGGAGAGAGCCTTTAATGTCTCAGCCAAAGGCCGAGTGATCTGTCTGAATGTCAATACTTGACCTGATGGATCAGGGCGGTTTGACTCACCGACTGAAGTGGCGTGGTTAGGGGAGTGGTGTGAACTCTCGATGAGCCGTCATGGGGAGTGCTTAATCCTTAGTGGTCTGATACACCAAATGGGGTACACGCCAATAAAGTGGGTAAAGTAGCAACGAAAATGGCGCGAAGTGGCATCAGAGTTTGCATAGTACATGGAAATAATTGGGTTTTGG